ATATTGTCTTTTATAATTTTAATGTTAAACTAGAGGGTGGTCCCTCGCTCCGCGAGGGGCGGAAATTGCCGGTTTTGTTTCAAGTGTATTTACTTGAATTGTCAATTTAGAAATCTGAACAATAGATTACATGATCCATAAAATTGTGGTATTATTGTTATCGTCCAAAAAGTTACATTCCCAAATTGTCTCTGTTATTTTTCTATGTTGCCTAAGAAGTTATATGTAAATCAAACTTCATACTTCACATTATTCTCTGCTATGTATTAGTGTAAAAGCAATACAACACTTATATTTATATTTTTTATAAAGATTCCAAATTTAGAAAACTGGTTTGCTTATACCAAAAAAATTTGTGTTGAAGCCACTGAGCACAAGGTTACAAATAGAAGCGACTCCAAATCCAGTGACCAATTTCTTTGTGGAATCCCAAATCTCAAGGTTATAGAATTAGCTCTCACTAACTTATCATCTTCTTTATCCTGTATATATGTGTAATCAACATGAATGAACAATCTAGCATGTATACCTTTAAGTTAACTCTCTTTTACCTGGTGTGCGTATTGTATCGTAGACAAGTGTGGAGAATACTCCAGAAAGATACGGAAGCAAAACGACAGCAGGACCTAGAGTCCTAGACTTCCTCTATAATGGCAGACCATCCTAGTAAGGCTCCCCAGTTAAAAGTTAAAGCAAGATACGCTTGAGGCTACAACCAAAATGACAAAATGTGAAAAGGATTATTTACCCACCCAAAATGACAAAGGATAAATAAGACTGTGAAACATGTTACGTACTTTCTAGATCATGTATCATTCCATCTTTTTTTATTCAATTTTTTTACCACATAAGTAAATATGTTATGATTTAAAAGTCATAAAACATTCACCTAACAGGGAAATCTAGAAAGAATATATAAATAAAATAACCCAAGCATCAAAATGAAACATTTGCAGTTGAATTTCATTAGTATTCAAATAAAATACCAAATATTAATGGAAAGAAATGAATATAACATTTACAAGTATGATATAAGGAGTGGCCTGGAGATATTTAAACTATTTAGAAGATGACACAAACTGTTGAAACATGAAAAACAAATCAATACAACAACAAAACCATAAGAAAGAAATAGAGCAGGGTGAAATTAAAATCAAATTATTACATATTAGTTTCCAGTTGTTGTTTTATTATATTATGGAGTGAAATTGCTAAGAAATGTGTACCCCGATTGTCTCTGAAATTGATAAGAAATGTGTTTTCTTTCTCTTAGACATTTTATCGAACACCTTGAAGGCATTTAGAAAGAAAGAGAATATTCATTGTTAATGAGTGATTGAGTAGGATTGGAATCTGAATCAGTTGTAGGAATCTGGTGAAACGAAACTAATTACTAACCTGATGACCAATGTTTTGAATGACAAGAACGGATCTTGAGTATTGCATTAATCCATGTGCATGATAATATGCTTTGAGGTAAACTGGTAACAATGTAGTATGCTAATTGTTAGCAGAAACATGAAATCTGTAAAATGATCTTTTAAAAAACTTGCAAGTTCGAAAGTAATGCACCTCCATATCCTGAAAAATATACATATTATCATTACAAATTTGCAGCAAACGTATGGAGTGAAATAGTGGACTCTCGGTTCACTAACATGTATAACATGCAGCATATAGATAGTACATCCCCAATTCCCAAAGGCAAATCCCTTTTAGGGTTCTTCACCTGTACAATTCCTTCATAAGGTTAGTTTAGAGAATTGATAGATAGTCATACATATAACAATGTTCAGCAAGGGTAAACACGACTGACATTGCAATCAAGACGATCAGAACAACAACAAAGGAGCAAGGGTATATTTGTCCAAAATATCCACTGATGAACTAACACAATAACATATAAACCATAATCAAGACGATCCAGAAAGCTGCACGCCTTTGATATGGTCTAAGTTCAGGGAGCAAGTTAGGCATGTCATCCATTAGCATCGGGTTATCAATGCAATTTTTTTTACTAAAATTAATAAACATATAAACCAAAATCATCTAGCATCAACACTATGCACACCCACATTGAGGGTTGTATTGCTTCAGAAAAACCAGATACATCGAACCTGGATACTTACCTATTTTCATTTAGTTCTAGCCCAATCTCCATGTCTTCAGGTACCTTATACCATATCTAGCCTCTGAGGTAGTTACTTCTGGGCCTAGCCAAGCCATGACATTCATCATACTCTTCTTCCATCTGCTACAAACTGATACACAAAAACAAAGTACACTAAGATGTATGACAAATAGACATCACACCAACTTCTAAAGGTGATTGGTGAGACAAACCTTTCGGTTTTTGCTCAATTAAGTCGCCATATTTGCAGGTAGATATCTCATAACAAAATCCCATAGAGAATGCAAAATATAGGGATGAAATGATAAAAGAGTCAGGGTTTCTAATAACATTGGACGCGACAGGTTTGAAATCGAAGTGAAGTAGACTTACTGAGCTCGGTTTCTTTTAAGCCCACACTCGTTGGATACGTTGGTTGCAGAGACCAACCTTCAAACCATCTATTCAGCAGTTGGACTTCACTAGCGAATGTAAATGGCGATGCTAAATCGGTTCCATCAGAGAAAACGCAAAATAAAGGACCGATTAGCAGTAGGAATTGAGAGCATACGAAGAAGACGACGAAAAGGAGGAGACGGAAAATCGAAGAGTCAATTATCGGTAGTAACAACAGCGAGAGACCTGGGAAGATGTGAACAATCGTTGTTACAAAAAAACGCCACGATTAGGCAACAAATTAGGAGAAGAAAGAAGCAAGTAGAGCGATATCTGAGATTCCTCTGCTACAGCGCTACCGTTGCAATCGTCGGAAACTCTTGATACACTTTTGTTGGTTAGTGTGGATGAATGGGGATGGCCAGTGGCGGTACCAGAGAACAATAGAGGTGGTGGAGTCGGTGGGTGGATTAACCCCGGGGAAATCCAGAAGGTGAGCGAAAGGTTAACTGATTCATAGAATTAGCAAGAGTAAGGCGGTGAGAAGTAGAGCAGATGCTATCGGAGAAGATGGTGGTGACTTGAAAGGGTTACGGCAGAATCCGACAGAGCAGGTTGTTTCTAGGGCAGCGGTGTAGGGAGCAGAGGGTAGAAGAAGGTCGGAGGAAACTTGTATGTATGTATAGGGTAGAAGGTTGGCGATGGAGGGAGTAGAGGGTAGAGTAAGCATCAAGGAGTGCTCTATATTTGAGTAGGTGACACCAATCACATTGCTATTGGCGTACAGTAACGGTGGAATACATAGATCGTTGTAATTGTAGATGCGAATCACAGCCGGTCAAAAGATTATTCTAAAAAAGAAAAAGAAAAAAAAAATCGCCCAATCAATCCTTGACAAAAAAAATAACCCAAAAGACCAAACATATAGTAAAAAATAACCCAAAAGAAGTAGAAGGAGGAAAATAAACAAAATAATAGGAAGTTTACTGTTGTTAAGTTTGGACATTTTTAATATATATATATATATATATATATATATATATATATTATATATATATATATATATATATATATATATATATATATATATATATATTAGCGGCGACTCGAACCTATTAGCGACGACATGTGGATATTAGCGGCGACATAATAGTATTAGCAGCGACCTATAGAACATTTGCGACGAAGCATTAGCGGCGACTTTTTTGCAGCGACATGTCGCCGTTAATACCTTTAGCGGTGACAAACCCTATCTTTCGCGGCGACACCCGTCGTCGCTAATGTCCACCTTTCTTGTAGTGTTAGTAATGATTAGCTTAAACATCCTAATAGGATATTAGGGTGGAGTGTCCAACACTCCACCCTAATATCCTATTAGGAGGTTGTTTAGGCTAAATATTACTAATTTTTGTCATTACTTTGTTATAATAAAATCATTTCACTAATTTATTACTCAATCATTAAATTGTTATTATCTATTTTTTTTCAATTAAAAGTTTATTAATTTTATCAAAAGTTTATGTTTAAAAAAAAGTTAATAGATTTTTTATAACAAGCCATGTTTAAATCAAAATGTCATCTTAACAAAATTGACTTGCCGCTAAACTTAAAATATTTAATCAATATAAAATCAAAAGTATTTCAAATTCATTGATCAAGTCATTAAACTCGAATCTTAATATATATATTCTTCCAAACATTACGTATAGATATATTTTGTCTGATTGATGATTTTCTTAAAAAAAAATAAAAAAGGTTTATATGATAAATAAAAAAAATATTATAAATGGTTATACCATCAAAACTATAATAAACTTTTATATTAATCAAAGTTCTATATAAAAATGAACCGTGGGCTCTAAACTAAAAAAAAAGAAAAAACTTTTAAAAAAAAATTATTTATGAAATTTATTTAATATTATTATTTCAAACAAAAACAAATACGATATACATCACATTTATGATATTACAATTTAATATAATAAAATAATATTCGTTATTCCGATTAAACAAAAAGAAAAAGTGAACCGCAAAATATCAATATTGGACCTAAATAAAAATAAAATAATTACTTTTTAAATTCAATTGTACCAAAATAATAACAATTTGTGGAGGATATCATACGTATGCCACGCCAAAACACAATCATAATTAATGTTTTGTATTTTTCAAAAAGCCTAATTCAATTAGTGTAATAATGATACATGTTTTAGACTAGAGTGTTTGAGACTGACGTGACGTGTAAATATAAAATCCCTTCTTCAATTTAAGCATTAACACCCCTACTGATTCTACAATGCCTCAAGATATAAAGTGATAATTATATCCCCTATGCAGGATGTTGGCCGATTTTACCCTTATGCAAGGATTTGTTCCACGTAATAAAGTGGTATGGTCAGAGTATAGACCCATTATGGTTCTGTTGGGTGCAAAGATATCTCATATGGATGATTCTGCCCGTTGGCAAAAGATGGTCTGAAGTGGACGATTCTACCCCTATGCACAAAAAGGAAGGTTCCAGTGGGTGTTCACCATTGATACTGCTGGATACCTGTGCGTTGCCCTGTTAATAGATCTGGAAGCACATTAACATTCTCGAAAGTCGAAACCCAATTAACGAAGGTGACTGAAGATTCTCGAGTTTGGCATTCTTGCAAGACCCTACTGATACTCGAATCTTACACTAGCTCTAGGCTGGTTCTCTTGTTGGTTCTCTTGTTGGTAGTATTTATAATTAAACTGTGTGAATGGTTGTCATACTTAGCATATTCTCACTCTGCTTTCTTGTGTGTCATAGTATACACCAGTTGTAACATTGTACTTTGTCCATCGGCACACTGGCTTTTTCGTTTAATACATTTCTTGCTGTTAAAAAAAACGTCTCTGTTTTTAGTAAGTTACTTTACAATTTTATTAGTAAAAAGCTCCACCTTGGAAAAACCTTTCTGTCCCTGTTTTCATCTTCCTAACAGCAGCAAAATACATGTTTTTTGTGCATTGATTTTTAGCAACATACATTAAATCCAGCGAATGATTGGTACTCACCCAAAAAAAACTCGATTTGTACATATGTAATAGATACTTGGAAATTCATATTTATTCTCTTTTGTTTTTACAAATAAGTCTTTTGTTTAACACAAAAACACAAATGTGATTTAAACAAGTCAATTTGCTGTATCCTCTGAGACACATATACACACATACATTTTAAATTGTTGAATTCTAGTAACAAAAATTTCCATGTATATGCATAACCAGTGTACAAAACTCGTCCCTAATGCAAGAGAATTTGCTCCCGATCACCAAAGCTAGGGTGACTATGAAAATGGTCGTCCTTTTGTGATTGAGATCAAATTCCGTCTAATAATAATAGTTTCCACGCATATGCATATCCAGTTTACAAAGCCTGTGTACATGACGACAATTTGATCTCAATCACAAAAGGACGACCATTTTCATAGATAAGTACACTAAACTGTATAATGTTACACACAATGAAAAACTGTAAATTTATTATAAGGAATAAATACCTTTTATAATGTATACTCACAATTATGTATCAATTGTTTCTCGCACCATTTGATTCCAGAATTTGAGTCTCCAGTAGCTTATTTATAGAGGGCAGATTTAAAATCACAATTTCAAAAAAGTAGGAAGATTGCAACAAATAACAAGTCATAATAATGCTAATCTCGATATTGGCACACCGAAGTGACCAAACCATAACAAACATGCGAACACAGTCGACGCATACCTTTTAAAACCCAGATATGCCATCCACATTGTAAAACAAGAAAGAGCGTCCACTCCTTCCTTTGGCACACGCTTACCAATAAATTTAAGCAAACATTCATCTACTGATTTAACATCCACTGATTTAACAATATGATCAAGTAATAACAGGGATAAATGTGATGTAAATCAAGTAAGAGACGTCTACATCCCCCAAATCTTTAAGAATGAGACCTCATATACCAACCACAGAGAATAAAAAGTCAATGAATCAAAGAATTGTAAATGAACATTATGTAATATGCACTTGTGGCAGATATTTATTTTAAGAGTTTTACAGCATATATAACTTCCATTTTGTGATGAGCACGTACGATCGGGTTTACAAACCTTTCCATCTATTATTTTGCAAAGCAACAGCCCTATGCTTTTGTTTTTAAGTATACTTTTTGTACATAGTTACGTTACCTTCTCAACTCTCTTTGAGAGTTGCCTTGGGGACTCTATCTTTGACGATATGTACTTTGAAAAGTGCACTAAAGTTGCACACATCAGGTACATTTGGCATGGTGATCAAGTGTTGTTGCCAAATGTACCACATGATAGTTTGAAGCCATATATATATAGGCTGCAACTTAATCCTGGTGCGGTACATTTGGAACAACACTTAATCACAATGCTAATACTGTACATATCTTGTCGAAGATAGATCGATGATAATCATTTGAGGATTGGAAGAAGTTGACCGAAACGGAGATGCGTTGGACGGGGTTGAGGGCGGGTTTCTAGTAGCTAACTCGAAAAAACGATGAAGGAATTCAACAGAAGACCGAGTAGCGAAGGTAGCAACAAATCTAGGAGAATGGAGACGATAAAAGAACCAAAAAGGATATGCAGATGAGGTATACTAGTCGTGTGGCTCTGGATGGGAAGAAGAAGAAGAATGGAGTCGGCATGTGTAGATTCTAGGGTTTGGCAATGACGACTATATATGGAAAAATCGAGCGGCGTGTGTGGATTGTAGGGTTTGGCAACAACGAATATATGGATAAATCAACGCGGCTTTCTAATCGTACGGACCACAATCTATCAACAATAATAACTGCACCAGTAAAAAATTATGATAAAAAATTACAAGGCGGCGTAGATTCAGATTTGCTTATTCTTCTAAGTTTTAAGACAAAATTTCAAAAATGGTCCTGTGGTTTTCGAAAATATCAAGTTTAGTCCCTAAGTTCAAAAAACCTCACAGATGGTCCCTGTGGTTTCAAAACTTTTAACAAATGGTCCTTCTCGCTAACTCCGTTAGCTTTTGACCGTTAACTTAAGGGTATTTTCGTCATTTTACTATGACAAGGACCATTTATGAAACTTTGTCTTATTTAAAATATATATATATATATATATATATATATATATATATATATATATATATATATATTAAAATAAAGGGTCCCACATCTCTCTCTCTCACACAAAAAGAAAGTCAAACCCCCACCAAATTGTTCTTCTTCCCCAATCTAGATTTGAAGAACACACATACATACTTCCACGTCATATGAATACCCATCTTCTCCATTCACTTTGATTCGAAAGGCAAACCCGATTCCGTTATTTTTAGCTTTCCCTTCTCTCCACAACCTGAATCTTGATGTACCCAAGACAAACCAACTAACTCACCGGTCGTATTTGGAAACCAACCCGGAAGCTAATCAGGTCCTGGGTTTTATTCATTCTCGGAAAGAAACGAGATGTAGTGGGGGGAGGTTGAAGTACACCCTAAATCACTATTTACCAACTGTTCCTTCTTCCTTCCTCAAAGTCTGTCTATTCAGAGCAAAAAAAAAAAAGAAAGCTTACATCCCCACGAACGAACACTAGTCTCACGCATCTAGTACCTACCTACCTCATGTCTAGTCTTAGAGAAAGAACCACCTCTCATCACTGCAAACCCCATCCTTTCAATTTTAGCAGTTGATTACCTGGCTGATAAGGTCTCCTGTTTCGAGTATCTGGTTGTATTTTCCGGAGAATTGTGCTTTACGATTTTAGCCCGCCTCGTGCCACTGAACATCATGGGTGGTTCGGTGGGAAGAAGATCAAGAGTTCATTGAGAATAATGAAGAAGAAAACAATCCGATGACGATGCTGTGATGATCTTGTCGATTGTAGATCGGAACAACAACGAAGAAGATGATGAACTTAAACAGGCCTTGATTCCAGAACTCTTCGGAGATTCCACCTATTTGATTGACTCGATTGTTGTTGCTGAATTTGAAGGAAGACTGATTCCTGAATTATGAGGAAAAGGCAGCCATAGTAGACCTTCAGGGTCACTTGCAGTCGAACGCAAACCAAATGATCGAGTAGCGATTGGAGAAGCAATTAAGGTTGTGACCTGTTTCTATGAAGATAAAATGGAATGGGGTAAACGAGTCGGGTGGATGTACGGGTCAATTTTCCAATTAGGAGAGAGAAAGAGAGAGAGAGAGAGAGAGAGAGAGAGAGAGAGAGAGTCCCTTTAATATTAAATAATTAGTTTTTTTTAAAATAAGACAAATTTTCATAAATGGTCCCTGTGGCAGTGAAATGACAGAAATACCCTTCACTTAACGGCCAAAAGCTAACGGAGTTAGCGAGAAGGACCATTTGTTAAAAGTTTTGAAACCACAGGGACCATCTGTGAGGTTTTTTGAACTTAGGGACTAAACTTGATATTTTCGAAAACCACAGGGACCATTTTTGAAGTTTTGTCAAGTTTTAGTTTTGTTATTTTGTTGGATCTGAGTACTTAACTTTTTTTTAATAGGGAAAATAACTTAAAATGGTAACAAAATATCAAAATTGTACAAAAATGACCATTATTGTGATTTTAGTACAAAAAAAATACCAACGAACTAAGATTTTGTACAAAAAATACCATTTAACTTTATGTTTTGTTCTTATTTATCCTCATGGTAACCGGGTATTCAAGGTAATTGTCTACCACCATCAACCTTATTCCACCATTTTCACCGAATACCACCCTTATACCTCCATTATCATCCACCATAAGCAGCTTTACACTATCACCAAACGCCCCACCATCATCCCCTACCATTTACGTGCAAGGCAACCTCCATTCACACACTTTCATCATTTTCTTCACCCTACCTGAACCACCGAACACCACCACTTTCCATCCATGATTCCCACAGTCAACCCCCATAACCTTTACAACCTTCAATCACTATAAACCCCTTTATTTCTCCATCACAGCCACACCCTTTAACCCACCTCCATTACAGCCACCATCGACACCATTCCCTCTCCATTGTTGTCATCCCTTGTCACCCCAATTACAGAGCACCCACCCGTTATCGAGCCTCAAACCCACACATTCATCTCCAAATTTCTAGACCCTATACATCATCCTCTTCACCCTTTAAACCTGCAGAAAGCACGAAAAAGAAAAGAGAAGGAAGGGCGGTGATCGAATCAAGAAGGGTGACCCTTTAAACCTGCAGGAAACATGAAAAAAGAAAGGAGAAGGAAGGGTTGTGATCAAATCAAAAAGGGTGAAAAGGTGGGTCAAGGGGCATACATGTAATCGAAAATGGGTGTGAAGAGGGAAGGTCTCAATCATCTATTGGAGGATTGCTTGAAGGCTCCTGAAATCCCGCTTTTGAAATCGGTCAAAACTCATTGGTGATCAAGCATACTCTTTGATGGCAGATTTCAAGACAGCGGGTAGAGACACACATCTTGTTGCAGTTGGATCTTTGCTTACAACCATGGAGATTCATTATTCTCAAACATGGTGGCAAGGGAAAGCCCTAGATCGTTTCAATTTGGGTGAAATAATGAAGGGGAAAGCCACGAGTTATTCAAAATATATCTTATTTTCCTCATAAATAAAAAACAACTGGGTAACCTACAATAGCAGGTAACCTAGTATTTTTTATACTAAAATAACAATAATGGTCTTTTTTGTATAATTTTGATATTTCATTACCTTTTTAAGTCATTTTCCCTTTTTTTAATAATAACCCTACATGACCACCAAGCAATCTTGGTGGCCCCTGGGTGAATAGAAAAGCGAGACTTATGAGCCTCCTCTAGTACAATCTGTCTGACCCCACCAGACATCGGAACCCACACCCGACCGCAACGGGTCAGCAATCCACGACGATCCTGCACAAATCTGGTGATCTCGCCCTTGATCCTCTCAATTTTCCAATTCTCCTGCCGCACACTCTCAGTTTGAGGTACCCTGATCAAGATCACAAGTGGAGAATCCACAGATATCCTCATACACGACGCCGGAACAACAGATCCAGCCGACTTGCGGCTCAGGGCGTCTTCCACAACATTCGCTTTACCAGGATGGTAAAGGATATCGCAGTCATAATCCTTGACCACGTCCAGCCACCTGTGCTGCCTCATGTTCAGGTTTAGGCTGATCCATGATATGTCTCGAGCTCTTGTGGTCTGTGTAGATGGTACTGTTGGATTAGGTGTCTAAGCCCATAACTATAATTGGTATGTACTTGACCCGAGAGTAGCATGGTCCATTTGGGTTGCCTTCACCAGGACAATTTGATAGGACAGACTTTTGAGAAAAGGTTATTTATGATTTATTAATATATTATAAGTTCTAATATATTAATATGAAATCATATGATTTAATTAGTATTGATCAAGAATTAATTTGGAATTAATTTAGTGATCAAGAGAGACTAATTAAATTAATGGGAACTAATTGTGTAAATTAGTTATATATATGTTTTTGGGCTTATGATACATGATGGACTAATTTTATGGAAGAATCCATAAAGAGTTAGCCCACTTGAATCATGGATCATGGATAATAAACCCAAAAGTATGGATTAGAGTTTACCCGTGACTTTTGGATTCCTAACATATATATAGAGCACCCCTTTAGCTAAAATCGTACCCAAGAGTGATATTGCTTGAGTATGGACGATTTGTGGTGTTCAACTTCTCTCTCAAAAGTCTTCCATTTGTTCATGGTGTTTGTGAACCATTTGAGGTGCAACACTTGAGGCAGTAAGTTTTTTAAAGGCCAATCTCTACAAGCTACAACAAAGAGGTAACCTTCTAACTCATTTCTATGATGTTTATGTGAATTGTATGCTTAATGTTTTGGAAACAATATTGCATGTATAATTAGAGAAAACATAGATCCAAGGCATTTAGGGTTGTATGTGCACCATAGGATGTTGTAGTATACAAAAAACCCAACAGTGGTATCAGAGCCATGGGTTGTTTTCTATTATATTTGATGCTTGCTTAATTTTCAAAGCTGGAAAAAGTCGATTTTCTGCAGTCAGACAACTGAACTCGCCGAGTCCATGAACAGACTCGACGAGTCCACTCAGTAAACCACCAACTCGGCGAGTCCAGTTCATGTACTCGACGAGTTGGTGCCCATGTTTGCAGAATTTCGAGTTTTTGGCCAGAAATGGATAGGGTCATTACTACAAACTGTTTTGTAAACCTAAAAATTGTATTTTCTGAATTGGTAATGATGATCCTCATCCATTTAAAAGACAATTGTCAAATATTAAGATAATATGATGATTATTTGTAGTATTTGATGTGAATTGTTTTGTTATGCGTTAGATTAGATTAATAGAAAAGTTATGTGATAATTGTTTTGATTGAAATTGATCTAAAAGTTGTTCATGATATGAGTTTTTGTAACTTGTTCTCAAGTAATGTGAAAAGTCTCAATCATGAATATTTAAAAATCATAAAATTTCATAAGTTATGAAAAATGAAGAGTCTTTCTTTTAAAAGCTCATAGATTATGGAAAATGGAAAAGTCTAATTTTTTAATGGTTTTAAAGTCTTCCATAACTTGTCCTCAAGTTATGGAACATGAAAAGTTTTTCCATGAAAACCACATTAATTCATAAGTTATGGATATGAAGAGTTTTTACAAGTTTCAAAACTTGCCCTCAAGTTTTGGAATTTGTAAAGTCTCACTTTTGAATACTTTAATTCCAAACCCTAGAGTTTTAAAAGTTAAAATTCAACCCTTATACTATTATATTATTATAAGTTTAATAATTATATATATGTATAAGACAAGTCAGTCTTACCGTTAGTAGGCCTCATTCACGAAGCCAGTCTATAAGGAGGGTATAAGGTTATTGCCTATAAAATGGCAGTTTAATGGGTGTCCACTCTCACCCACCACTTCCTTGACTGGTGGAGGTTCGTTAGCCGAACGGGTAGGATGGGACATTAATTATCCCTCATTAAAAGTATAATGAAAATACCAAGTAACTAAACTTTATTAAATTCCCAATCATAGTTACTTAGGAAAAATGTAAAAAGGTGCTAATCCATGAAATTACACTTTGCACCTTATTAAGTCGTTAGTGGAGCGTGTGTGGTTCACCAGAAAACTAATCTGGGACTGACAATGTGTGGCAAATGGTAACTTGATGTTAATCATAGATCAGTGGAGCGTGTGTGGTTAACCGACACATTGATTAGGTGATTTGTAACATTGGGTGTACCAAGCTAATTTGCATGGTTATTCACACCTTGTTTGTGATCCTCGGCATCCCAGTCACAAACTTGAAGGGCACAATCGAGATTAAACATGCCATTGAAAAGTTCAATGAATCCCAAAGGATCTAGGAATTTCAAATCTAATTAAAACTTAATAATATATTTCGTTTTTCATGGTGGAAATTGGTAAATCGTCATTTACCTACCTTCAAATATTTTACAATTGGATTACGACATCCCTTTTCGCAATTGTAGAATATTGTATTGGGTCTTAGCCTTAATATTTCGTTTTGGGTGTTATATTAAGGACTTAAATCAACTAACTTGAATTTATCCCTTATAGATGTCTAGTTCTGACAACTATGATCTTCCTTATCCTCTTGGAAAAATCTTTCTAATGAAGATTCTATCCCACATGGCGATCAAGGTGAAAGATTAACCTCTTTTCCATGCATTAATGGGACTGGAAACCATACTTCACTTCTTCCACCTCCTCCAATTATTCTCCCTAACCCACAAGTTCAAATACTTGAAAAGTTTAAGGTCACTCAA